GAAAGCAGCTCTCCCAATGGTTCCTGTGGAGGCCAGACTCTTGGTCTAGCCAACACAGTTCTAACGTGTGTCTTGATGGTACATTAAAGAGGAATGTTACTCAACTTGATTAAGATTTATAGTGTTTCTACACCCTGAAAACACAGCAATGGTTTCTTTAATATAAAACTATAATTTCTTAAAATAGACTGCTAATGACTGTTTTCATTTATTTAGTTATGGGAGATGATGCAGGCATGGTTTGTATGAATTCTTATAGAATGAATTAATTTCATAAGTTTCATAATTAGTGATATTCCTGTTCTATAAGAATATGCTGTGAGTGCAATTTATCATCACTGCTTCTTATTTTGACAAATCTGGGGTGGGGGGGACTCTTGCTTTATAAATAAGATATTAAAACAATCATCAGAGGGTAGACTATATTGCATATTGTTAGACCAAGTAATACTTCCATTACTTAATACTAGAGAAAACAAATATTGCAGCTTAAATAAAACATTCAAACTGTATGGTGAGGGAAATGGAATTGTTCAAGTATCATGATATTTAAAATTGAATTTCCATTACCCCATTATAGTCATTATAGAATATTTGAAAAAGGCTATTCCCTGACCCCAAAAAAAATCAAAGGGGAGGAAAAAGAAGAAATTTTGGAATCTATTTTTTATGTAAAAGTATTGGTATTTTTCATGTTTATTATAAGCATAGTTTTAATGGCTACCTATTAATACCATCAGATGTACATACTATAACTAACAGCTCCTTTTTACATTATTGATCATTCAGGTTACTTCTGGGTTTTTTTCAATGTAAATAATGTCTTGATGTGTGTCTTTGCATATTCTGATTTGTTTTTGAATTTAGTACATTCCTTAAACGTACTTTGCATTGATGATTTTTTAGTTACATATCAAGATGATCCATAAAACTTTGGGGGAGATACAGCATTGGATTGACTGAACCTAGTTTATTTGAGTAAGGCCTCGATGTTAAGCCAGAAGCCACGGTTTTATTCATGGCATCGCAGACCTAGAAAGGAACTTCTCTTTCTGACAACAGAGGTAGAAGGCTGACAGTGATGAAGCTGAATGACAGCCTAGCACGCTGACTTTGAAGAGAGCTGGGGTTTGAGTGCTGTACTCAGCCTCCATTTAAAAGCTTAAACCTTTTCACTCTCGGTTTGGGAGTTTGCCACATTAGAGTTATGTTTACAAAACTAGGAAATAACACTCAGAAAATTTGATGTTGCTAACTATGGTGTTCCCTGAGTAAGAATCTGTTAGATGGCAATGGATTATTGTCTTAAAAATATGTTCACTGCCTAAGAAACTAATGTAAAATAGATCATTGTAAAAGCAGGTATTTTATATATTCTCATGTGGCAACCTCAAATAAAAACTTTTCCATAAATTTTTATAAGGTAAGAATTTTTTTGTTTTTTGTTTTTGTTATTAAGAGTAGATATATTTAACTATAATTCAAAAGAAGGTTGCTTTAAATGAAAATGAAGTGATGTTTCTTGAATTTCATATTGCATAGTGACAGATAATAGACCTCCTGGGTCTATTATATAAACAGAATATAAACACGACAAAATCATATTCTCAATATATTTGTAGATATGTATGCACACACACACCAGGACAGTGAACTGATAAATATAGGGAATTATGCCCCTGTATAACATCACCACTCAATTCTATTTCAGAATATTAAAACAAAGTAGAACTGGTGATGATCCATTTAATAAAATTATGAATTTTTATATTGTGTTCACTTAAAATATGCTAATTTTTAGAAAGAAATGTTTAGATATTTTACATGGAAGAAAAATTTTGAGTTCTTAATTTTCTGCTCTAAAATCTATTTGATAACTATATGCATCATATGATAATTATAAACAATTTAAGGGCAAACACTTTTCAAACTATAGGATTATGCAAGTGATCTTGACTACTTTTTTGTTGTTACCAGCAGAACTGCTGTTAGTACTAGGCTAACAACTCAATTTGTTGCTTTCCTGAACCATTTAATTGTTATCTTTTTTATTTATATGTCTATCAAATTGTGAGATAAAATGTACTGCATATACTTGAGTATAAGCTGACCTGATTACCAGCCGAGGCACCTAATTTTACCACAAAAACTGCATTTAAAATGTGCTGAAACACTCGGCTTATACACGACTATATATGGTGATTTAATGTTATTTTATGATGAAAAAAGAAAATACATCTCCTACTAATTGTGGGATAAAAGTATTTGTTTTATCATGAATATTATTATCCTATCATTTTCCATTAGCCTGGAAAAATGGGCATCCCTAAAATTATGTTATAGCTTTGTTACATGGTTTTAACTACTTAGCTCGTTTTTAGAAACCATTGCCAGTGGAAACTTACATTGGGTGCAAGTCCTATTTTGTGAGAGTGGAGTTGCTCTTGAGTTGTGTTGTTAGGTGCCATTGACTTGGTTCCTGTGAACAACAGAATGAAACACTACCTGGTCCTGTACCATCCTCATAATTGTGTCTATCTGAGCTATTGTTGTAGCCACTATGTCAATCCATCATATCCAGGGTCATCCTCTTTTTTTTGCTGCCCCTCTGTTTTACCAAGCATGATGTCTCTTTCTAGAGACTGGTCTCTCCTGACAACAGGTCTAAAGCATGTGAGGCAAAGTCTTGCCAGCCTCACTTCTTAGGAGCATCTGGCTCTATATCTTCCAAGACAGACGTTGTTCTTTTGGCAGTCCATGGTCCTTGGAGTCTGCTTCCCCAGCACCATAATCCAAATGCATCGATCCATCTTCAGTCTTCCTTATTCAGTATCCAACTTTCACACGCACATGAGGTGATTGAAAATGCCATGACTTGGGTCAGGTGCAGCAAATTGACCCAGTGCAATTCAGTGTTGGATCTCTTGACTGCTACTTCCATGAGCGTTGATTATCGATCCAAGCAAAATGAACTCCTTGACAACTTCAATCTTTTCTCTGTTTATCATGATGTTACCTATTGGCCAAGTTGTGAGGATTTGGAATTTCTTTACATTGAGTTGTAATCCATATTGAATGCTGCAATCTTTGATCTTCATCAGCACATGCTGCAAGTCCTCCTCAATATCAGCAAGCATGGTTATGTCATCTGCATACCACAGGTTGTCAATAAGCCTTCCTCAAAACTTGATGCCTCATTCTTCGTCATATAGTCCAGTTTTTCTGATTATTAGTGCAGCATACAGATTGAATAAGTATGGCAAGAAGACACAACCCTGAAACACACCTTTCTTGATTTTAAATGAAGAATATTTCCCTTTTTTGTGGGACAACTGACTCTTGATCCATGCACAGTTTCCACTTGAGCACAATTAAGTGTGTGAAATTCCCATTCTTCTCAAGGCTATTCATAGTCTGTTAAGATCCACACGATTGAATGCCTTTGCATGGTCAACAGTGCATAAGTAGACCGCTCAAGTGACAGCTGAAGGGCGTGCGCTCTGTGCGGTTGTTAATAGCCTTAGCATTGGAACGGACTAGAACCAAGTCTAAGACTATCCTCATAAAGCACAAGTCTATAAGTTTCTCAAGAAAGTGGTCACTTTTGCTTTAACTTTAGTCTAACTGTAAGGCAGTTCCTACATTAAGCACTTAAGCAACTAGGAATTTGCAAAATTAATAATAAAAATGTTTACACTACTTTTGATAGTTCAATATACCTGAGAGAAATCACAAATTTATCCATAATTATCCCTTACCAGATGCCAGGTAGGTCAGTAGGCATAATTGTTGTTTTTAGGTACTGACTCATAGCAACCCCATGCACAACAGAAGGAAATGCTACACGGTCCTGCGTCATCCTCAACAATTGTTCCTATGCCTGATCCCATTGTTGAAGCCACTGTGTCAATAAATCTCATCCAAGGCCTTTCTCTTTTTTTGCTGCCCCTCCAATTTACCAAACATGATGTCCTCCTCCAGAGACTGGTCTCTCCTGACAATATGTCCAAGGTATGTCCTTGACATTCTTACCTTTAAGGAGCACTCTGGCTGTACTTCTTCCAAGTCAGATTGGTTTGTCCTTGTAACAGTGTTCTTCTCCAGCACCACAATTTAAATGCATGGATTCTTCTTCAGTCCTCTTTAGTCAGTGTCCAACTTTCACAAGCATAGGAGGCAGTAGAAAATCCCATGGCTTGGGTCAGGTGTATATTACTCCTCAAAGTAACATCCTTGCTTTTCAATACTCTAAAAGAGTCGTGTGCAGCAGATTTTTCCTAATTCAACATATGTTCTGACCTGTGGACTACTGCTTCCATGAGCATTAATTGTGGATCCAAGCAAAATAAAATCCTTGACATGTTCAAACTTTTCTCAGTTTATCATGATGTCACCTATTGGTCCAATTGTGCGCATTTTGGTTTTATTTGCATTGAGTTGTCATCCATACTAAATGCAGCAGTCCTCCAGTATGGATGGTAGTTGGTGACTAATAGCATGTTAATTCTGTGTGTTGTCACTGTCGGCCTTATCAGAAACTCTTCGTTAGCAAGATGGAAAATAATGACTACTATGTGCAGTTTAGCAGGCAGAGGCTTAGACAATACAAGATATTGTATAATGCCGTCGTAAATAGCATCCTTGGTGATTTAAAATGAATGAAAACCACTAGGCATGCATAAAGAGAGAACTTCTGTTCTACAAAGACGGCTGACAATCACAGGCATTCTGGGGTTTGATTTGGGGTGAAAGTTGAAGATTTCATGCAGAAAATTATCAAAGATAGTTATATAAAATATCCAATTAAGTAAAAGTTTTCTTGCTTTTGCTTTTATTGGAAAGTGTGAGGGAAATTTTTCTTTTCTCCGGTTGTGACAAATCCTCATTGAATGGCATCATAAGAATGATACATAGTTTCTAATAATGGAATGATTTTCTCTTTAAGACCTAGCACTCAAATAGTTATATGCAAAGGTGAAAATTATAATTTCTCTTAACAGCTGTGACATCTTACGAAGACCTTGGACTCTTTGTGTTTGGATTGCCTGGAAAGGTAAATTTTCTTATCTTCTTTACTTGATCCAAAACTCAATTTGCGTTCCCCCTCCCCAACCCCCCTGCATGTCAAGGAAAAGGTATAAATGTAGAGAGCAATAAATGGGAATAAACTAAAGTAAAATGGAGGGAAAAGAGAAAGAATGGTGGGAGCAGGAAGAAGTCCTTGTGTGTATTTGTCCTTCCTAAAATACATTAATAAATTTAATTCAGCACTTAAATCTTTTAGTCTCTTTTACCTTACTGGAGAGAAATGACATACATTTAAAGCAGTACCAATGGGCTATTTTGAGCTTTTCCTAATAATTTGGTATTCTCTGAGCAAATCCTCATAGAGACAGATGAGTAATCAGCCCAGGATTAAAATTATAACCTAATGGTCTCCTCAGTTCTAGGTGAGGACATTGAGGCCCTGCTTGTCCCCAGTTGCCTAAAGGCAGTACCAGATTCTAGAACCCCAGATTTAAATTCTGCTGCGTTTCCTGCTCAGAATAAGGAAATAACAGTCTATTTATTGCATTCTCTCTTATAGACGGTATACTAAACCAAACCAAACTAAACCCAACCCAATCCATTGCTATAAGTTCTGACTCATATAACAGCTCTATGTAGCGTTTCTGAGACTGCTAAATCAGTGTGGGTGGGAACAGTCAGCATCATCTGTCTGCACAGCAACTGGTGCCTTTGAACCTGAGTTAACCTTGTGGTTAACAGCTCGAGTACAAAAGGGAGTATTTCTATTTTATGCCATGTCGTCTTATGTCTTGGACCTTAAGAACCTTGAAATCTGAACAAAACAAAGAATGTGTTATCAGAGGGTAGCCCCTAAACAACCTAGTGCCATCAAATGAGTTCTGACTCATGGTGACCCTATATGGGGTTCCCAAGATCTGTAGGTGAACTGACGGACTCATCTTTCTCCCTCAATGGGTTTGAACCACTGACTTTGAGGTTAGCAGCCCAATGCCTAACCCACAACACCAATGGGCACCTTATCTGAGGGTAAAGGGTTTTATAAGTCATTGCTTGAAACAATTTCAGGTTTTTTAAAGATCAGGATGTTTGGTAAATTAAGTAATTTCTTGCATCTAGTTTATCCAAGGGAGAAGAAAAAATACTGATAAGATAATCTCTTGTCAATTAAAATGGTCATCTGTGAACATGACTTATCACTGTCTTCATTATTATTTCACGGTACATTTGCTCTGTATTCCTTGTATACAATAAAGTCTCAAAGGCGGCTATTAGAAGATTGTTGAAAGCCTCCTTTACCTGACGCACTAGAGTAGTCGCTTTATCATTTTAATCTTTGCACCCAATGCTTTGTAGACAGGTACACTAGAGCGAGCAAACTCTCAATCAGGAGTTTGTTGTTTGCCTATTCTGTATCTCGTACTCACTTCCACAATTGGGTTTCAACTGCTCTTTTTTCCAGAAATCATGGATATGATGTACGATATCATTATTCTAATAATAAAGAAGACGTTAACTTTTTTACAAGTCCATGAGTTTATTTATTCACTTACCAAAGTAAATGCCATGTTGTAGACACTGATTGATAAATCAACCAATCAGTATCCTGTCTTTCTAGATTTTAAATGCTTAAATTCTGTCAAATACTAGAAAGATAATGATTACTAAGCTGATATTATTGTATTTTTGCAATATGCTAATAGAGGAGAAATACAAATTTAGTTTATTATTAATAGTAGCTATCTAATATCATAGCATGTAAAAGATAATGCAAGATGTCCTTGGATAATGAACAAGCTCTATTACTAAGCGTCTCTTTTAAGTTGAATTTGTGTGGTAAATTGGAATATAGTGGTGGTTCTCAACCTATGGATCATGACCCCTTTGAGAGTTGAACGACCCGTTCACAGAGGTCACCTGATTCACAACAGTAGCAAAATGACTGTTATGAAGTAGCAACAAAAATAATTTTATGGTTGGGGGGTCACCACAACATGAGGTCGCGACATTAGGAAGGTTGAGAACCACTGGAATATAGGGCTCTAATTCAGCCTGACTAAAGTGCAAGAAAAACTTCAAAGGCTTTTCAGTGATTAAAAAGCTTCACACACACTAAATGAAGGTGATTTCGATGAGGTATTTGTTGCAGTAGGTTGTGTCACATCTTCAAAGGTGAGGGTACATTTGCGTAGCACTAAAGAGATTGTACCAGTTGTCTTAAGTTGGACAGTTCAAAACCTGAGGATAACCTATATACAAAAGTACAAAACCATTTTTCACAAACAGTTATGACTGATCGGCAGTAACTTTTGAGAAGGTTTATATGCATAGTTTTGTCTGGAAGATGTTAGTGTCAGACAGCACATCTCCAATGACTTCTCGCCAAAATTCAGAGCCCAAGACCTCTAGTCCGGAAAACTTAGATTGTTCCCCAGATAGGCAAGTGCTCTGATGGAATTCTTAGGAGAAGTGGGCCGGAGGGATGATCTGTTATCAGTCAGTCGTCAAAGGCATGGGTGATCCTTGAGGGCTAACCAGCTCCACATATATGAAATATACCCTTGAGGGCTAGCCAGCCCAGATCCACAATGATTGGAGTAGTTGAAAAGCCCACTGGAAGCAGCATGTTTAACCATCTTCTCTGATTATGAGAATGGCAAAGTGCTATGTTGACTCTCCTTGGAATCTCGTCAGTCAGAGATCATGAGATAGCAAGCTTGCAGGTTGAACGTTGTCCTCAAGCGTATTCCATGTGTTTCAAATCTGTTTTATTTTTAACTGGTCATGACATTTTGAAAGAATCAGAATTTTCACACTTTCTCAGGACTGTCAGAACTGGCTGCGTTGACTACACATTTGCCTATGTCAGCACCTGGTCAGCATTGAGTAGTCACTGCCCCATTTTGAAAGGGAAGGAGTTCTAGCCACTTGTCATTACTACCTCCAGTTTTCTTATTTTCCACCTGCTTCACTGTTGAGTTTGAAACATGTGCCTTAGGTATTTTGGATCTGAGACTGTTTGGGCTGGAAAATCTTTAATCTATATTTTTTAAATACCCTGGACATACCCAAACCTATTGCTTTTGAGTCCGTTTCAACTCATAGTGACCCTCTTAGAGAGTATTTCTCCCTCGAGTTTCCAGAACTGTAGATATTTATAGAAGATAGTGGCTTCATCTTTCTCCCATGGAGCTGCTGGTGTGTTTGAACCACTGACCTTTAGGTGAGCAGCCCAATGCATCATAGTCTATTTTGACATCAGGGCTCCTTCTAATTCTTGGGACAGGGATGCTCAAAAGTTTGGCCTAAGCTAAGCTGATATTTCAGAAGGCCGTATCGTTTCCTCTGTGCCATACAGCCTTGGTACAACACACCCACACTGTCCCAGCACACTGTTAAAGGAGGTGGCAAAACCAGTGAGAAAAGGAGACTGAGACCAAATAGATTCCATTTCACCTTTTTCAGAACTTTGATAATCTACCCATTACTGGCTTTTAACACTTTAAAATGTTTTAAAATAACTGCCAAGAAAACTTTCAAAAGTGTTCTTTATAGCAACAGTGGAACTATTAAAGAATGACTTTTTTATGTGATGATTATTAATTTTATGTATTATGGCTAGGAATTTTTATTCTTTCCAATTTTTCTCCATTCGTGACTTCTGCACCTATTTTTTACTATTAGTGCTTGAGCTTTAATAAAATAACAATCCTTTTATATTATTTCCTCTTACATCTTCTGAATACATTTGTTCTTTTATAGGTGGTGGTGGCAGGCACCATAATAATTCAGAACATTGGAGGTAAGCAATTGAAATGTACCACGTGTACATAGATGTGATGGAGTTGATTTAATAGCCCTTGTGACCGTAACTTCTAAGTGAACTTCCAGGTAGACCTTTGCTTTCAAGCACTACCTCAGCCTGTTATTGCGTCTTCATCATTGTTCTGAAGAATTGGTTTTCTGTGGTTGTGATAGGATACAGTTTAGAAACTCTCTCTAGGCCATTATAAAACATTAGCCCTCTACTGTTGTGCCATCTGCCTCCACTGGCAAATACTATTTTAGAGAGAGTGGTGCTCTGTACATTTGGGCATGGATCAACAAGGTCTTCTTTTTAAAGCTTTTAATTGTGAGTCTGGTAAAGATTTACAGAACAGATCATCAGTGTTATATTCATAACTCAAATTGTAAGCAATGTTCTAAGAAAATGAAAATGATCAACTGGTTTTCAAAAATAAGCAGATCTGAAATAAATAGGAAGCCTTTTTAAAAGCCTGTATCTTTTATTGTATTTCCATTAAAAATTGATCCTGATATTGAGAGCCATGTAGAAATAAAAGTTATTTTAATTGTGAATAGTTACTTACTAAATGAAAGAGCCCTGTGGTATAGTGGATTATGTGCTGGTGTAGTGGATTATGTGCAGGTGGCTAGTGGATTATGTGCTGGTGTAGTGGATTATGTCCTGGTGTAGTGGATTATGTGCTGGTGACTAGTGGATTATGTGCTGGTATAGTGGATTATGTGCTGGTGGCTAGCCATCAAATCAGTAGTTTGAAACCACCAGCCACTCTATGGTGGAAAGATTATACTTTCTACACCTGTAGAGATTTAAGTCTTGGAAACCTACAGGGGCAATTCTACTCTGTCTTCTAGGGTCACTAAAAATCAGAATTAACTCGATGGCAATGAGACTTACTAAATGTATTAAACATGTAATTCTTTAATTTTAGAATTGTGTTTCTATATTGCAAAGAAGTTACCTAGTGCTTAACAGTGCCTAAATTTTCTTTAACCATTGACTGGAGGACTCGGTAAATGTTACTCGTTCAAAAGGAAATGCGTGGCCCTTGGCTCTTACACGAGTTGTCAGAGGAAATTTTAATCTTACATGTAAATCTTCAGAATCATTTGACACTGACAGTTTTAATCAAGTTTCACTCTGATACTGAAAACATCTGAGCTTTCACATGTTAAGTGTTGTTAACCAAATTCCAATTGCACTTCTGGTTTGTTGGTGATCGAGGAAAAAAATACCATTCCCTCAAACAATTGTGTTTGCTATTGTTTTGGAATTCTTAAACTTTTGTGTTTTAATTTTTTGAATTTTCATAGGGAAAAAAAGATGTTAGTGAATGAAGTAAATGCTTCCTCAGATAGTATACCAAATAATTTCCTTTTAGCACACAAACCTCACCTTCCACACCAGGAGACAGGAAAACGAATTTCTCCCTTTATGACTTTAAGATTGCCTTTGATGGGGGGCAAGGCACTGAGGGCATGCAGCAGAGCAGCAGCAGGAGCAGAGTGATGAAACTGCAAGGAATACCAAAAATAGACTTGGGAGACAGAGTGTGGCACCCCATCAGACTCGACTGGAAAACACTTGTAAAGGCCAACAAACAGGCCTTAACTATTTATAGGCTTTTCCGTTTTTGTCAGTGGCTTTCTTTTTGTTATTGTTATTTTGTTCTTGCTTTTTGCTGTTGTTATTGGTTTTGACTTCCTTTGTTGTTTTATTTGGCTTTGCCTGGTTTTTGCAATTATTAATGTATCTGCGTGTCTATCTAGATAAGATGGGCGGGATAAATAATTTGGAGATGAAAAGAACAGAACCAATGGTTCTGGGAGGATATGGGAGAAGAGGAGGTGGGAGAAAGGAAGGGAGTGGGAGAACCAACCCAGGGACAAGGGAACAACAAGTGAACTAAAATCAATGGAAGGAAGGCCATAGGATGCCTAGTGGGGCTCAATCAAGGGCAATGTAGCAGCGAAGAATTTCTAAACCCGAATGAAGGCTGAACAAGATGGTGGGACAAGAGGGAAGTAAAAAGGAAACAGAGGAACGAACCAGGAGGCAAAGGACATTTATAGAGGCCTAGATACAGGCATGTCCATATGTAAATATATATATGATGAGAGGGGAATAGAACTATGTACTCATATCTATGTGTTAAGAATTAAGGTTGCGGGTGGACATTGGGCCTCAACACAAGTATTCCGTTAACACAAGAACACTTTGTTCTAACAATCCGGTATTCTGTGACGCTCACCTTCCTAACATCACTGAAGACAAAATGGGTACATAAGCAAATGTGGTGAAGAAAGCTGATGGTGCCTGGCTGTCAAAAGATATAGCATCTGGCGTCTTAAAGACTTGAAGATAAACAAGCGGCCATCTAGTTGAGAAGCAACAAAGCCCACATGGAAGAAGCACACTAGCCTGTGTGTCATGAGTTGTCGATGGGATCAGGTATCAGGCATCTAAGACCCAGAATAAAACCATAGCCAAGGTGAATGGGGGGAGGGGGCATGGAGTGGAGATCCAATGCCCATCTGTAGACAATTGGACATCCCCTCACATGATAGTGGAGTGAAGGAAGCACCAAAGAGCTAGAGGAAAGTTGTGTGTTTCATCGGTCACAGGGGTCACAGGGAAGAGATGAGCCAATCAGGGTGCAGTATAGCACCGATGAAACACACAACTTTCCTCTAGCTCTTTGGTGCTTCCTTCACTCCACTATCATGACCTCAATTCTACTTTACAAATCGGATTAGACCAGAGCATGCACACTGCTATAGATAAAGAGTCCAAAACACAGGGAATCCAGGATAGATAAACCCCTCAGGGCCAACAAGGAGAGTAGAGATACCAAGAGGATTAGAGGAGATGGGGGGAGAAAGGGGGAATCAATCACAAGGATCAACCTAGAACCCCCTCCCCTCTGAGGGGGACAAATAATGGAAAAGTGGGTGAGGGGCGACGGAGGATGATATAAGACATGGAAAAAATAATCTATAACTTATCAAGGGTTTGTGAGGGAGGGCGGGCAGGGGAGGGAGGGGGAAGAAATGGGGAGCTGATAGCAGGGGCTCAAGTGGGAAGAGAATGCTTTGAAAATGATGATGGCAGCATATGTGCAAATGTGCTTGACACATTGGAGGAATGTATGGATTGTGATAAGAGATGTAAGAACCTCCAATAAAAGTATTAAAGAAAAAAAAAGAACAACCTTGAAATGGGCGTTCTACTTTCTCCTTGAAAATATTTCACACTAAGTTGGATTTAAAATTTGTTTCCAAATTCACACCCAAAAAAACCCCCACAAAGATTACTTTTGAAATCATTTACTCTAGCAGTATGTATTGAATAGTTGAACATTGGTGATATTTTGGAACAAGAACATATGATGTGATATTTTCAACTCTTCATTATCCTGTCCGTGTGAATAGTAAAAATCGTTATGTTGAATCATTCTGTAGCATTTTATATAGAATTTTTGTTCCAGGAATTGAGATCCAAATTTGTGACCCTGGCACAATGCCCCAAACAGCAGTTGCTGTTTTTCATTCTGATCCCTTCCTTGTGCTCTGATCGTACATCAGGGGAGCTTCACAAAGTTCATGGAAAAATTCTATTGTTCTTTTATTACATTTCTCAACAAACTTTTTGAAGCTCCCTCATATGTACTTGCTACTGGGCATAACTCTATTTTAGTACTAGTTGTTATTCAATTGAAGTTATCTCTGTATATGCTACTTTCTCCCACTATTTGTGAAGTCCGTTTGGGCAAGAATTAGATCTCATTTCTCTTTGTATTCCCAACACATTGTAGCATAGCACCTGTGACTTGGCAAACCTTTGTGGAACTGAATAGAGCTGAGTAGATTTGTGTGTCCTCTTTCAAGTACGTTAAAATATTCTGGATGTATTTATCAAGAAGAGAAGGGGGGCAAGGGTAGCTTGATCATTATCTCCAAATATTTTAAAAGCTAAACATGAAATACCAAAAATGAAACTAGACCAAGTCAGTATTGTCGGAGGACAAAGCTAGTTTTCATGGGCAGAAGCTTATAGTGAAGCTGGTTTGGGTTGCACATTAGATAGGCCTTTGCAATTAGGTTGTGTGGTAATAGGAATAGCCTACGTACATCCTGATGAGAGGCTCCCTGTCCCTGGAAGCAGTCAAATGGAGCTGGTTGGCCAATTGTCTGAGTGTCATGTACAGAAGCCAAAAAATACCCAAAGTGCACCCCACTCCACCATAAACCTCAACCCAAAGGCACTCAGCTATAACTCGGTGAGTCAGCAAACCCAGCTCCCCAATATAGTGCCCAGAGACACCCTGTTCAGCAAGTGAGCCTGCCTGAAGCCACTCAGCTTTACTTGCTAGGTGAACTAAGGAAGTCTACCATTCTAGCTCATGCTTCATTCTTGATGGTAGTGCCAGCCCCCTCGTCCTGTAAATGAGGTGGCTCATTTTATTCTACCATTTTATTCTACCCAGCAGGGTGGCAAAACTGACCAGTCCACAAGTCAGAATTCCATGCTTCACAATGAAGTGTACTAACAGTCACTCAAAGCTGAATTCTATCATCATCTTCCCCCACCTTCTCTTACAACCTCTTCAGGAAAAAGTTGTTTGGTGGGGGAAAGGCTATGAATAGAAGAATCGGATCAAGTAATTCACTGAACCACAGAGACTTAATCATTCTTAAGGGCATTCATATATATTTTAGTACAGGAAAGTTAAATGGAAGGGTTGTACTTGGTTCAAATGATGATCGCTCTCTTGTTCTTTGGGATCTTTAGTGAACCAACAACTATTAGCCTAAAAGCTTTTGAAAATGCCGGTTCATTGTCATTAGGAAAAGGAGTACACCTCCTCTTTTATTTTTAATTTTTAGAGATCACCCTTCTGAGCCTCTGAAGTCAAGTCTAGGAACTCCAGCCTTAAGAAGTAATTTTTTCCCCAATCATTTTGTTGGGGGCTCTTACAACTTTTATAACAATCCATA